CAGTAGCTGATTATGAAGTTCAAGTTTGATGAAATAATCAAGGAAATTTCACTGAACTCTTTCAAAGTCTGTAAAACAGAGCTTTGAGAAGAATTCTGAGAGCATTCAAATCATCTTCTATTAAAGCAATGAAAATTGAAGCTTCAATTCCTTCTCCTGCTATTAGATTTGAAAAGGCCTGTATGAACTATGCTCTGAGAGTTATAAAGATGAGCTTAAATCATATAATCAGAGAAAGAGTCTCATCTTCATTTTCATCAATTAACTCTGGAAATGAACTGGATTGAAATAGATTTCTTGATTGAAATGAAAATAATTCTTCAAAGAAAATGCCCTCTCAACTGTACAGACTATACTCACTGATTAAGAATCAATTTTCTTCTTTAAATGTTGAAAAAGTTGATCATGAGAAGTTATCTTCTTGAAGAGAAAAGCTTGAATCTCTTATAGACTTATAAATAAGTGAACTATCTAAAGAGAAAGAATATGAACAGCATTTGAAGAGAATTTCTACAATCAATATAAAAGACTCTATTTTGATTTATTTAGATGACTCAAAAAATGAGAATTTGAATAGATTAGGCACAGGCATTGCTTATACTGAAGATAATATTAATTTTATCTCAGATTTCTGAAATTTAGGCTGTGAATCTGAAGTCTTTGACACTGAACTATTTGCAATAGTGAAAGCTTTTAAACTTATTAAAATAAAATCTTATAAAAGAGAAAATAGTTTGAAAGAGATATAGATATTCTCTGATAGTCAAGCTGCTTTAAAAAGACTTAGAAATAGTCAGATTTATAATGATCAAATGAATCTTGAACTGATCTTAAACTCTGTTTTAAAAATTCAAAAGAGAAGAACATCAAAGCTGATAATTCATCTGTACTGAGTTCCTGCTCATATGAATATTCATGGCAATAAATTGGCTGATTCAGCTGCAAAAAAAGGTTCAGAATTAAGCAGATCTATTCAAAAAATTATCTCCTAGTCTTTTATAAAGAGAAAAATAAAAGAATCTTGTTTAGACAAGTGAAATGAAAGCTGGCAGAAATAAAAGAAGAGTATACATTATTCAAGATTTGAAACAAAACCCAAGTGAAAATCTTGTTCAATTAAATGTAAAAAGAAAATATTTTCATCTATAATACAGCTGAAATTAGAACATGGCTATTTCAAATCTTATATGCAAAGATTTGATGATAGATTTGATTCAATAGAATGCTCATTCTGCAATATAAATGAGAATTCTGAGTATATTATAATGCACTGTGCATTATACAATAGTCTCAGAGTTAGATTGAAAGAGAAGTATGATCTAAATTAATTAAATATAAGATTCTTATTCTGAACTGAGACAGGAATTAAATACTTAATAGACTTTCTGTCAGAAACTCAAGCAGCTACAAGAAAATGGCTGAATTCAGAAATATCTGAATATGAAGAGGAGGAAATTGATCAGATATAGTCTGTTAAAACAGCTATATACTATCTTTTAATAGTTTGTTTCATTACAGTCTCTCTTTATTTTACTTTACTTTTTTCTTTCTATTCTTTTCTACCTATCTATTTAATGTGTCTATCTTTAAGACTGTGTTCTCCTTTCTTTTGTCATGATATTGTCAAATGGTTTCAAAGTATCAGAAGATGTTAAAATACTGCAATTTGTAAACAGTTTTTGTATTCTGAGCTGGAATTTTCTGATTTTGCATATCTGAAATTGGTGAATGTATAATAGTTAACTTTATAGATATAGGAAAAACCCTGAGAACTTTTGATTCTCAGGTAGATGTCATAGTCTCTGACTGCATACATCTATAATTGAAGAATAATAATAATAATAATAATAAATTGAAGATGTGTTAATCATTATAACTGCAGCTTGAATAGCTTCATCTTAAAGTTCTCTTATGAGCTCACTGTTAAATAGTAAGCTTCTTGTCTTTTTATTTATAATATGATTGACATGTTCTGCAGAGCTATTGAACTGTGATATATCAGATATAATAATCTCATGTATAATTTCTTTTTACTGACAGTAGGTCTTTAATTCATCACTTTTAAATTCATCTCTATTATTTCAGTGTAAAGTCTCAATTCAATATTAAGTAGTGATCTCAATTCTATTAATAAAGATTATTAAACATGCAGTGATCTCACTCTTTAATATTATAAGAATAATTCATCTGTAGCATGTAACATTATCTATAATACTTATTTAATAATTAGCTCTCTCATGAGTAAAGAGGTTGATTTCATTATATAGTGTACAGTTATCATCTATAAGATTTATGAAGAATCTCATCACAGATTTGACAGTTCTTATCATTGATGTGAATATTGAATATGTTATTTTTATCTATACACAGATCTTACAGAATAGTAAAGCTCTGTTATTCTTAATTCTTATTCTCAGTTATGAATCTGCTGCTAATTTAGTGATATCTGCAGAGTTGAGATGACTAAGCTTTTAATATTATTATAACATTGTGTGTTTAACAATCTTAATATTTTTATTAAACAATGTTAGCAGAGAATCTTTTTTCTCTGCAGATCATAGAATTTTCACAGATTTAAATTCATTATTTAACATTGTGAATTGAATCAAGTCTCTAGTTATTAATTATTTTTTCAGAATGTAGATGTTCTTATCACTTAATTTAGTAGTAAAACTCAACATCTTATCAGAAGAGATTAACAAGATTAAATAAGTGTTTTTATAAATTAGTTACTTATATGTATAGCTCTGATATACAAGCTTCTCAAAACTCATAAGATTAATCTTCAGCTTAAGAATGTAGCAGGTATTCTACAGCAGCAGATTCACTTCTTTAACTGATATATTTATCTTCTTTATAACTACAGAAGCTGTCAATTCATCAGTTATCTTTAATATAATATTAATCTTCTACAGCACTATTGATATGAGATTCTTGTAAGATATAGTATAAACACTGAATTCAGAGTTCAGAACTCAGATATCTTTATCAGTTTAATCAGTAGAATAGACTGTTTCTGTTATATGAAATACTTACTCAATAATATTATAAACTGACACTCAGTCTGTTTCATTCTTATTCTTATTCTTATCACAGCTAGTAGAGTGTTTTTCAGAAAATTTCAATCAGTAATCTGTTTGAATGTGATCAATCTTCTGACAATGATAATATATTTTAATAGTATTATTACTCTTTCTATCTGACTTAATAAAATCTTTGTTCTTGTTCTCAGATATCTTCTTCTTCTTCTTATTCTTTTTATTCTTTCTGTTGAAATCTTGAGTATTATTTACAGAGATGAGAGATTTATCAGTAGCTGACAATCATAGAAGAATATCTTAACATAATCTTATAAAATTATCTTTAAGTGTTCTAGTATTCTCATTCTTCTCTATTACATTTATTCAATTCTTTATAAAAGATAATCAATCTTTACTAATCTCTGTAAGAAGTCTGTTAAAAAACATGAAATCTTTGACATTATATTTCAATCAGATATAATCAGTTCTGATTACAATTAAATATTTAATAAATATATAATTAGAACTCTTTGATTTTAATATTATCTCAATCAATTCTTGAAATAGATGAGTTCTGTGAATAGCAGGTCTCTCAGTGAAATTATTCTTTATAACAGATTATAGAGAATAAGCAGATAGTTGAGACTTCTTAAGTATAATAAAGTGAGATTTGATCTGTGAAGTAATTACAGACTATATATAGTTGTATAGTTAGATATTTCATTCTGATTAAAAATATTATATATTTATACTGATATTCTCATTAGAATTAATCTGCTTATTATTAAGAATGTCATTCATTTCAGATTATCTCACTGTGAGCAGAATCTCTTCTTTTCATATAAAGTAATTTACAGAGTCAGTGAGTATAATAGACTTTTTTATAGATTTTACTTAATCTCTGAATTTATTAAGAATCTTTATTAATGCAGATATTCTACTCTTTCATTAAAGATAGTTTATTAAATCTGCACTAAGCTCTTTATTTTCATTTCTGTCTATCATCATTCACTTAACTTCATGCTGAAGTCTTGTAATTTCTAGTCTCATGTGAGTCTTCTCACTTACAGAGCTATTGTTATTTTAGTCACTTAAACTCTCTACATTATCTGATATCTCATTGATATCTTTAATCAGATGTTTGTATTTATTGTTGAACTTGTCAGACTGTTCTTTCATAATTGTATTATCTGTCTCAAATATCTCAGAAGTCATCTTCTGATTTATTATTAATATTGACAGTAATCTATGATCTTGTATTTACTGCTCTGATATTTTCTCATTTCTTTATCTTAAAGACATGTATTCTTTTATTAAGTCAGATATTCTCTCAGATCTTAGATTAATCATGAGTTTAATCACTTAATAAATTATCTAGACATGCTTGTAATAATACATGAAGATATCAATTTACATATTATTACAGTTATTTATTACTTATGAAGAGCTTTATAATCTCTTGAAGAATAACACTGTTATATTATATATGTAATCTATCTACGCGAGTTACACTAAATAGATTGAGATAGCATGTAACTAGAGTAGATGTAGTAATTATTAACATCTTATTTAATCTGATTTCATACATTTCTTAATATAAATTCTGCTGAAACTAATCATTAAAAAAACATACAAAGTGACTATTTATCAGATCTTATAATGAGATTATAACTTAGAATAAATAAGAAAGTAATCTCATTTAATCTCATTTAGTTTCATACTTGATATAAAGTGACTATTTTTAGACATTTTAAGATTTTTTTTAGACTATTTTTAATTTTTTAAAAAGTAACACTTTTTGATAATGCTCAAATGAAATTTAAAGTCATTTAAAGCAATAAAATGAATTTAAATTGAGAAGTGAAAATCATGATCTCATTTGAAAAATGTGACAAGAGTAGACAGTAAGTCTCACTGAGACAGTATGAGACTACTATCTAATCTTAAAACCATGTAATGAGATCAATCAAATTGATAATGAGACCCATAAAATATTCTGATCCTGGTCCCAGACACGGTCACACGGTCAGTCTAATTCTGACGTCTTGTCTAAACATGGCTCAACTAAATATTAGAAAAAGAAAGTGCATATAGGTATTCTCTATTGATTTAGCCATAGAAATCATGTATGTAAGGCTACATTAGATACCTGGTTGAGATTTGATTCAATAGATAGAGAAGCGGGTTGATATCTAGATTCTCAGCGCCGAGCCGCTAGTACGCTGACTTCCTGCCACTACTGTATATACAACTGTAGAATATCACATCTCTTCTCTCTCTCATGCTACTTACCCTCTTTCTATGATGTCAGAGAAGATGTGTGTATGAGCCACTGTATTGGGCTGGTCCTGTCCCCTTGCCTGGGTTTGCATGACAGCTCTGGCGAAGGGTGCCTTTTGCGCGCCAATGAGTAGGTGAATTTGTTAGTGGGATAGGCAGGTGGGTATCTTTGCTGGTAGTAGTGGCGGTGGTGGTGGTGTCGGTGTTAGTTGGATTGGATGACTGTGCGGAACAGTGAGCGGGTATCAGTTTGGTATGTGAGGAATGCGGGCGGCTGGCAGTTACCTTTAGAGCGAAGTAGTTGAGGCGCTTGTTGAACTTTCAGATATGTAGGTAGTACCAGCTGCGCGAAGACGACTCAATAATATATTCAGAGCATGTCCGTATAATACGAAGGTGCAGATAAGCGGCCAGGCTTGAGATAGTATCCGCGGAAGTTGGCGGGAAAGGGGGAATATTCTCTAATGATTTGTCATATGAATACAGGCGCGCATATCGATTACATTTCCATCGCTCTCCTTGTTCGCGAGCCAAGGAAAGCTAAGAAAAGAGGAGTGTTTATTATTTCGAGGAAAATCGCACGGCAGAATAAGAACCACGGATGAATGAATATAGGTTCTGTGGTGTGAGGTATATTAGACCCCGGTTCCGGGGAACGCGGTGCCGCCTTTGCTTAGCACCACAATACCTCTTTCCCGAGAAATGTATCCTTTCATCAAGTTCTACGTAGTAGGCCTAGTCAGCAACTATGATAGGAAAAGGTTTTCTAGTACTATCGCTCTCTCCAGGCGTTAAGAAAAGAATTATTTGTGAAGCAACGGAAGGCCTGTTACTCACTTTGTAAATGAGATTTGCTAGAAAGCATTCAACTTCATCCATGTCAAGCGGAACCTTTTCATCCACCTTGTTGCCTAGCCTAATTGCAGCAGCGAATTCCGCAACAGGGATCCGCGTACGCCGGATAGGTGGTTGTCCGTTCACGGGTGGATCGTATCCTCCAGCCAAAAACACTTCCGGAAAAGATTTCGGAGAGCGATGTCTCGTCCCCGTTCGAGCGGTAGATATATACGTCTCTTGACAAATTCATTCTCACCGGCAGCCATCGCCGTGTCGAAGCCCGTAAGGTCGCCTTTCTTGATGCACTTGCTCAAGGGACTGTAGAGCTTCTCGAGAAGAGGATAGGGGGCAAGGAGTCGACGTGTCGGCAGTGTGTGGGTTGTTACGATGTGGCAGGGAATAAGGTAGGTAAGAATTAGTCTGGATAGGGTCTCTTAGTACTGTTGCCATTCAATGTACGAACGGACATCTCTTGCACCTACTCTTTATTTTTCTTGGCGTCGGGATGGCACATTTTCCACGCGTACGTCAAATGCTCTTCAGCCTAGAAGGTTTCATGGTCAAAACATTGACCAAGCATAGATAATCATGTAGTGTCACCACCTGCACATACCTCTGCGTAGTTCTCGTCTAGGAAACATATCACTCCGAGATAATATTTGAAGGTGACAATATGTGATTTGGGGAAGGCCGAAATGGGTGGTAAATCTGCGTGCGATGCATTTATAGCCCGCAGCAAGCTCTTACAGGATGATATGGCCCCGAGCTACAAAATAATCGTTAGAGGACGGACGAGATGTCACTTCCCAGTGTTCCAGGAATCCGCACCTTAAAATATGTTTTGAAAGAAAGGTTCACAGTGTTATACACGCCCCATTTACGAGACTCTTCAATAGGTGCCCTGGAAGAATTGTTGTTTAGATGAGCAGCCCAACATGACGTCTAAGCAGAAAGCATACCTATCGTGGAGACACAACGTGAACATTCGGTTAATGATTTGAGATGACTCCTCCAGTTTGGCATTCTTACTGGGATCGGATACCACGTCGTCTTGGAAGCTATTATTATAAGCATCTGAATCCTGAGACGTGCTGGCATCCGCTTCCACCGCAAATATTCGAAGATATCTCCCAACGATATATAGACAAGGCAGCGTCCATGCCTGGAATCCTCCATTGGTGTACCCGCGTATGAGAAGATTGGCAACCTGCTTCCAAGCGTTGAAGACCTTGGCCCAACTCCCCGTCTGAGGCGACTCTTCAATTTCGACTATTTCGGCCACAGCTTTCCAGTATGCCACGAAAATTTCTACCCACACATTGCCTTCCTGCTTCGGAAGTTTGATCCCCGTTGATCGGTCTTGAAGGAGAGCATATCTGATATCCACCTGAACATTGGCAGCATTTGTGAAATAATACAAATTTCGCAGCCTATCTGGGTCCTTTGGAGGGGCAACAGGAGTGATTGTAGCGGCCAGTGCAGAACCAATGCCTGTCTGCTGAGCTTCTTTGAACTCAGCAAATACTGTACTCATTTTGCGGCCCTGGGTGCGCTGACTGGTGTAGGAGTGTTGGTGAGGTACGCGGAATTGCAGAAAAGGAGCTGGTAACTGATGCAGGGTGAGCAAATATCCTTGGTGTTTGAACTTTAGCCATTCACCTCCCAGACCAAGCCAGTCAGTTCGCCGATCCTCGTGTTGTTGTTCGATGTTCGTAGTTGACAATTGTATTTTAGCTGAGAGGGTGGGGTGTCTTGGCATTCCCCAACACGGTTAGCGCCCTGAGGCTCCCGGTTAAGCGAACAGACAGCCCTAGCCACCACAAGTTCGAACAAAATCTGAAATTCTATGCGTTGAAGACGGTATCCATCTCACGACACAGCACGACAACCAGACAAAGTAAGTACTTATTTTCCTCCAACTACGTTAAATTGCGAGTTACTGACATTGCCGTTCTAGATGGGTGAGTTTTACCTGTTGATTCGAGGCCCTCGCGTTGCGATGCCCTGCCCAACCCCCTTCGAGATCGCGTTTGCAAAATTATCTACCCACACAAAAATCCCCCAATTCGTGGAACTGCGCTTGGGAGAATACCGCGATCATTGCTAGTTGAAGAAAATATGAA